TTTTGTTTTTTTGGTCTAACTAAGTCTTATATTGTGTTAGTCAGTAAGCATTAAGCATCTCATCTCTTCACTATCAGGCATTTAGAACAGTATAATTTTAATCTGAAGTCCTTTTGTCCCTTTCTTCAGCATTCATAGTAGCATGCTTATAGAAAGTCTAATAAATGAGTTAGAACAGATTGAATTTGGATTTGGCACATTGCATATGTAAAATCAAGCCCTCTCTCATGCATATTTTTCATATATGTAATATGCCTGATCCAAAAGATCCATCTGCTTGTTCCACTGACACTACTACCCCTATCCTAGGAGGTGGTGTCTGATTCTCCAAATGAAAGTAAGTTGGTTTAATTCAACTTTCTTCTCCAGAAGTGTACATTTCATCACATTAATTCCATTTATTGTTATTTATCTTGAGTCTCCTGAAATAAGAATTGGCAGAAACATTTCCTTTTTTTTTATTTAACAAGGGGTGACATAAAGGAAAAGGGGAATTGAGGTTAAATGGGAAGAGGAGAAACAATAACATACTAATGTCCATTCTATACATATTGCCATATCAAAATTCCAAATTACTCTTTTTACTATTTTGTGCCTTCCAGATTTAAGTTCTCGTTTCAATATATGCTCTTCATATGCTGCCTGTTGACTCAGTCCATTTGTAGAATAAGTCCCATATTTCTGTTGCCTTTTGTAAAGGACAGTCCTTCATCACTTCTGATAAAATGTCCATTTCCGCTGGCACAAACATTTCCTAATGAGTTCAGTTGTGGCTGCAGAAATTGTGTGTATTTAGTGAGTTTAAGTTTTTTTTTTAACATTGCAGCTTTCACATGGCAACTGGCAACCTCTCATGTTTGTTTTATAGTGGGTATTCTGTTTTAAAAAGAAAGGCTTTCATGTATACTTTGTTCTTTTTGAGCCCGTCTTCAGATTGGAACAGATTAGATAGATTTTCTGAGAGATTATGATTCTGGTACTTTACTTGATGATTTATGGGGTCAGTGTCTTGTCACCTTTATTCAGTTGTGTTATGGTCCAGAATATGAGGATTTGGAAATATTCTATTTTTTTCAGCTTGATGATTAAAAATTTAATTGTATTAAGTATTAAGTTGAAAAAATTTGTTTGTTTGTTTGTTTGTTTGTTTGTTTATTTATTTATTTATTTTATTTATTTATTTTTCCCTGCCTTTCTCCTTGAAAAGTACCCAAGGCAGTTTACAACAGTGAATGATAGTATTTAAAGTTGAAAACAATGAGTATGCAACGGTGGTTAACATCATTAAAATAATATTTAAAGCTAAGAACACAGAGTAAAGAGACATCTTACATTATCAAAAGGCAATATTAAAGCTGAGAACAATAAATATACAATAAAAAAGTCATTCTGAGAAATGGAAAACACAAGTAGTACTAAAAATCCAGTCAAAGCAGTCATGCATAACAGTCCATCTTAAAAAAAAATCACAGACCAGTAGCTGGCTACTGAGAGAAGGCTTGCTTGAAGAGAAATGTCTTTGCCTGCTTATGGAAGAACAGACAGCAAAGGTGAGGCCAGCCTGGCCTCCTGTGAGTGGGAATTCCAAAGTAAGGGAGCAGCATCAGAGAAGGCTCTTTCCTGTGTCCCCATCAGACACACCTGTGAAAGTTGCAGGATGGAGAGAAATCCCTCTCCTGATGATCTTAATGGTCAGGCTGGTTCATAATGGGAGATACAGATAGCTTGGACCCAGGCCATTTAGGGCTTTATAGGTTAACAGTAGTACTTTGAATTGTGCCCAGAAGCTGATTGGCAGCCAGTGGAGCTATTGTAACAGGGGGGTTATGTGATTCCTATAACCAGTCTGAGTCAGTAATCTGGCTGCTGCATTTTGGACCCACTGAAGTTTCCTGATACTTTCCATTGGCAGCCCCACATAGAGCATGTTACAGTAATCTAGCCATGAAGTAACTAGGGTGTGTCTCACAGTGGCCAGATTAGACCTCTCAAGAAACAGGTGCAAGCCGGCACACTTAATTGTGCAAAAATACTCCTGGCTACCGCTGAGACCTGGACATCCAAACTCAGGGATGAATCCAGGAGCACCTCCAAGCTGTGCAACTGTTTTTTCAATGAAAGTTAATCCCGTCTAGTACCTGCTGCATCCCCATTTCTTGATATACCTTTCCACTGACCAGGAGCACCTCTGTCTTGTCTGGATTAAGTTTCAATGTATTCACCCTCATCCATTCCATTACTGATGCCAAACACTGATCTAGAGCTGAAGCAGCTTCCAAATCACACCAGACAATGCTCTGCCCATGACAATTGAACTACAGAAAGACCTACTATACCCAGGTCACCAACATCGATGCTGGTACAGAAGACCAGGTCTAGAGTGTGGCCTGCGTTATGAATGGGACAGATACTACAGTATTTGGAACAGACCTATGATTGTCATGGAGGTCATGAAGTCTTGAGAAATCCCTGACAGAGCTACATGGGCATGGATGTTAAAGTCACTCAGCATGATAAGCTGAGGGGATTCAAACACCACCTCTGATATCAGCTCAGTTAGGTCTGCAAGAGAGGTTGTTGCGCCATAGGGTGGGCGGTACACCAAGAGAATACCTATCTTGTCCCTGGCTCCTACTTTCAGACTCATGCATTCAAACCCAGGAACTGGGGAATGTGAGAGGGATGGAATCACAGTAGACCACTGCTACTCCACCTCCCTGCTCCCCTGGTCTTGCCTGCTGTTGCACAGAAAACCCTGGTGGACAAAGCTGAGTGAGATTAACACCCCCAGCTTTATCCAACCAGGTCTCTGTAATGCAAGTGAAGTCAGCATGCTAATGCATTATCAGGTCCTGGATGACATTTGTTTTCCCATTCACTGATTTAGCGTTTAACATCAGTATTTTCAGCCCAAGGGTTCTGCCATCAAAGCTACCCAACAATTTAAATTTGGGGACATCTTAGAAGCAACCAATATCTTGTTGTTCTTCCCTCTTATATTTTGCTAAAGTGGCTTATGCCTACTACATCTTTCCTTGCCCTGAACAGTTTCAGTGGGTATACTCTCGTTGCTGTCATTTCTCTCCCTCCCATAAAACACATCCTTTGACAAGCAGCTCAAGACCCAAGTTTATACACTACTAATATCATAGATAACAGCTATTCGGAATGTAAGATAATCTGTATTTTGTGCTGTTGTCATGGAGGAAGTGGAGTTTATCACAAAGGGTCTGAGACTGTATTGACAGGATCAGGAGACATAATACTTTAAGATTTCTTTCAGTATTCAATCTTTTATTCCTGTGCTGTTTTTGTATGGAGAGACTGACACTGAGAAGATGTGACATATTTTTTTCAGAATCTTTAGCAGCAGCAGAGTGATAGGAGTGCACCTTAATAAAGCAAAGCTGAACTTTTTTCATTTTCCATTTCCTAGTCTCTCTCCTGGCTATATGACAAGGGGAGTCTAAATGAGACAAGAGCATTGTTATGTCTTTTAGTCCTTGCTCCTAACTAGGCATAGGACCTATCCAACAACTGCCGTTTGTTTCTGTGCAGAAGGTTGCTGAAACTTAGACTATACACGTCTGTGGTAGACTCTGTTTTGGTTATATCTAAATGGAGAAACGTAAGACGTGGTGGCGCTGCGGGTTAAACTGCAGAAGCCTCTGTGCTACAAGGTCAGAAGGCCAGCAGTCATAAGATCGAATCCACGCACCAGAATGAGCTCCCGTCATTTGTCCCAGCTCCTGCCAACCTAGCAGTTCGAAAGCATTTAAATGCGAGTAGATAAATAGATACCACCACGGTGGGAAGGTAACAGCGTTCCATGTCTAGTTGCACTGGCCACGTGACCATGGGAACTGTCTACTGACAAATGCTGGCTCTACGTCTTGGAGACGGCGATGAGCACCACGCCCTAGAGTCAGACACAACAGGACTTAAAATGTCAAGGGGAACCTTTACCTTAAATGGAGAAAGGGCAGGTGGTGCTAAACTGCTCCTTTAAATCACAATCTCACCTTTTACTTTAGACACCAGTGGTGTGGGCGTAAGTTACATATATTTAATTGCTAATTACCAGTTAATTCAGAACATTTAATTATGATAGTTTCCTACATATACCATATTTTTGACTGTCAAGTGTCTCTGAAAAAAAAATGTAACACAAACTCCAGGCTTAGAATATGCTATAGTGTTCAGACTGTGCCTGTTTGGTAATTTTGGATGAACTTAGCAACTACAAGAAAAATAATATTGATATTCAGGTCATTGTATCTTTAATGTATGTAGCTATTAGGTGGGCAGAGTTATATCTGGTGCTTGTTCCCTTCTCCTTATGAAGTTTCTCCAAAGTGTTAAAGGGCACCATAGACTGTGCCTTATGGGAGAGGCAAATCATTATGCATATGTAAAGAAGAGCTCATATTGGATCCTTGTTTTAAAATAAAGAAGTACAAGTTCTCTATTCTTTGTGCAGTGCACTTTAATGCTTTGGCAGGTCTAGTAGTTGCTTTTGACATCTCTTTAGACTCTTTTACAACGTTTTCTGTTATTTCTAATTTAGTGGCAAGAAGATTAAGTCCTTGTATCTTTCTAACCTAAATAGTTCCAAAATTCTTGGAACATATATAGCTGCTGCTTAAGTCAATTAAATTTTAAACTGATTAGTGTATTTCATTTTTTCCTATGAAATATGTAAAAAAAACTTTGTCTCAGTAACATTGAATATTTCTGTATCTTAAATTAATGTAAAACAGGGATGGGGGAACACATGCTCTTTGAGACTGTTCTGGACTTCAGTTCAAATCATCCCTCAAAGTTGGCTATGCTTACCAAACATTTAAAGATCAGTGGGTAGGATTTCAAATGCTTGTTGATGTAGAAGAAAGTATTTTTAAAAATCTTGGTTTAGGTAAGTAATTTGTAGGTTTTATGAATAAGAATGTGTAGATCTCTATTTTAGCATTATTTTATTATTTTATCTTTATATACCTTAGGATATGCTTTGGAGATGCAGACAAAGTATCTTTGATGAAATGAAGAAGAAATTCTCCCAGGTAGTTAGTTGCACTATATATTTAAAAATGGTATTTCAACTGTAGTAACGGCATGGGACTGTAGCACTTGCTTAACATGCACCTGCAAAATAATTTGCATTCTACTTATTATCCTGAAAATAAAAGTGGCTTTGGATGTCTTGTGTTCTATAACATAATAAGCTTTATTGTTTTGTTTGTATGTGTGTACGGCATCTGCAAGACTTAAAAAGCACAGAATGAGATAATTTGACAAATATTTGTAAATAAAAGATTATTTATCTTAATTTTCATAGTGTTAAATAGAAAATAGATTTTCAGTGTATGATATGAGATTTACACCTTTCTTTTCCAAAAGCAATACTTGGCACATATGTGCCTCACATTGTGGTTGAAATGTTCCTATATTCCACATTTTTCCATCTATAAGATGCTACTTTTTCCTAAAATCATTACCCTAAAAATTGAGGGGTGTCTTTTACATGGAAGTAAGCTGAGATAGCTGAGGAGAGGAAAAAATTCCATATACCTTTCCTCTGTAAACAGGCTTCCTTCAGCCACGAGGCTTGGTTTCCTACAGTCAGGAGACTTAGCTTCCTCCAATCACGAGCCTTATGGAACTGACGTCAGCTAATTCTGAACAAACCAATTGGAACACACCTCCTTGGAGGTGGAGCCTGTAGGCTCAAGATTCAACAGAGACAAAATGTCTGACATTTTCAGCTTCAGAGGCTGAATCCTCAAAGCTACATTTTCTTGATTTGGGGGTTAGAAAATTTGGGGAGGGGTTGTCTTATAAATGGGGGTGTGTTACAAACGAAAACTATAGAACCAGTTCTCAACCTTTTTGGCTTCATCCCTCTTTTTTCCATTTTTGAGAAACCTTAATGCCCTCACCTCTCCTTCAACATTATGTAATGCCAACCTCTCTCTTTTTGTTTGTTTGGATATTAGGGTTTTTTTTTAATCCAAATTTGAAATAAAAAATCTATAAAATAGTAAGCTTCATTGTTAATTATTAAAAATACAGATAATGTAAAATTAAAAATAAGCACAATTCATTTAAAAAAATCTATCTAGTCTCTATCACAGAAATTTATTTCAACTTTAAAAAAATGTTTTTCCTTTATGGACATTTCAGTCTTATGCCTCCTCACCTTGTACCTGTTGGTAAATGACTACTGTACCTAGCTTGCGGGGGGG